CTGAAGACACTGTAGCCTTCAACCCCGAAGCTGCTCAGCAGCACTGTCCACCGTCTCGTCTCGATGTGCACTTTATCGAGGCACGCCGCCGAGCACACCAACTCTTCCTCTGCCTCCAGAGCCCCCCGATGGGATGGCACAGCTGAGGAAGGGACGGTCAGGCTAGGGGAGCAGGAGCTTCTCTTGTGAGCCGTCGTATCCAAGACGTGGGATCCATGTCTTGCTGGGAGGGCGTGCAGGGGAGATGTTGACAAGTGAAGGACTCGTATTTCCTGCCATGCAGTCTGGTGGATGGTACAGTGGGATAGATGCCATATGTCCTGTTGAGTCTTGCATGGTGCAAACCAAACAAACACAAATCCCAGCTAAGCCCAGAATGGTTTATTTACAGTAATGCAGCTTCTCTTTCAATACTTGAAGAAAAAAAAAAAAAAAAGGAAAAAAAGCCAACCCGCCCCATTTCCCCTCCTTCCCCATCTCTCCAACATCCATGCTTTTGGACAGGGGACCAAAATAAGTTCTCTGAACTGCATTGTGTCCACATGCCCGTGTGCTGACCCAAGGAAATCTGGATGTGGAGGAGCTGATAGGCACTTTAGGCTGCTGGTGCTTAGAGGTTTCTCTGTGCTTTTCACTTTAGTCGTGATGAAAAACCATGCTCATATTCAGCAAATTATGGGCCACGGTTAGAGACTGAAGTACACTTCCCTTATGAGAGCCACGTTTGCCTGCAGCTGGGCGAGGTGGCAAGGGTTGATGTTACAGCTCTTCCTAAATTATTGATCCACTGCCTGATGATGGTGGAGGGGTTATACAGAGAAGCTAGAAGGGCATCTCAGGAGGAACTTTTCAGCCTTATCTGACAGACGTGTGTTTGTCCTAATGATATCAGGGAAACCCTAGAAGGGAAGAAGTGGCAATATTTTATTAGTTGAAATATTGTGATTTTGTCAGAAAAAGAGGAGACAGAGTATTCTGCTCTCTAAATCCTGTACATTTATGTAACATCTAAAGGTTAATTTATTAAGTTATGGCCTCACAGTTATGTCTTGTCATAGTTTGACTTTTATGTAAAGAGCAGGCTTCTTGGTTGAAGAACCAGTACAGCTGTTGGTGCTTCATCTCTGGAACAGCCCTAGGAGCTCTGGCCCGGTCCGGAGGAGGTGGCCTCTGGCCTTGGCACTTGCACTGAGTGCAGGGAACAGTGGGGACAGAAGAAGGGTTGGGTGAATAAAAGGATGGGCAGACCCATGCCGGCAGTCATCCAAGAACTGTGGAAAGAGCCCCTGTCCACAGCCAGCCTGATGCTACAGGGGATTCTCATCCCCTAAAACTCTCGTTGATGTAAGGCAAGATCTTTTACCCCTGTAACCATTTTAGAGGACTGTAGTAACCCAGAGATCCCAGCACAGTCAGTGCTCTGCACTGGAGCTTCGGTGTTCCCGTACCGTGTTGAAGAGGCTGCCACTGGTCTGAGGCTTCAGGGGAGAGCAGGACACAGGATGCTGCTCATGGCATCCAGCTCTGTGGGGAGTTGTTGAGAAGTGAGTAATGGAGGTATGCAGGATACAAGCAATGCTGACATGGTACTCAAGTTGTTTGCTTTTTACGCTGATGGAGTGGATGCCAATTCACAATAGGCATTCATTTATTATTAATTCTGTGGTGCTTGACAAGTCCATCAAGTTCCACTATTGCAGTAGAAAACTGAACACGCGAGTTCTGGCATGTGAGATAGAAATCTTGTCAAATCATCTGCTTGCCTCAGTCAGGATTTTGTGATGATGGAGTGAGAAAAAGTCAACTGGATTTCAGAAAGTTTGACTGTGCAGTGTGCGGCTATGGTGAGAGGTAGACAAGAGGTGGCTGTGTCTCTGAGTCCACGGAGCCTTTGCCAGGATGCAGACATGGAGTATCTCAGAAGAGGCAGCCTTAACCTTCTGTCCAAGCCAGAGCAGTCTTTTTATTGAGGCAAAGTAGAGACTAAGAAATGAAACACTGCAGATGGGGCAAGAGGGAAGAGGCTGACAACAGTCAACTCTATCCTTTTTGAAAAAATGTATTACAGGAGTTTAGGAGGCCAGAGCCCTGTGATGCAATGTTGCAATAAGCTCCTTTCTGCCTGGAATGTGCAGTGTCAGTCATGCTCTCAGTGCGTGTCGGAGCCTGCGCTTCACTCGCACAACCCGGCGAGTGTGCAGGTGAGCTGCTCACCAGGCTTCGGGACTGCACCTCGGCAGCCTGTCCGGGCTGGCTCTGTCACGCAATCCCTGTGGAATGGGGAGAGGCTGGCGCGGGGTGGGGGTGGGATGTGTGAGCACCGGGATGCGGCGAGGCGTTAGCAGGACCCGGCTGTTCGGCCCCAGCGAGCAGAGAACGGCGTGGTGCCCGTTTTGCAGGTGGAGAGCTGATGGATCCGGTAGCGGCCCTTATGTCATGCAGAGGGAGGGAGGGTTATTTGTACCGTGTGCTTTCACATCTGGCGTAGCTGTTGTCTGCGGCGCCTGAAGTTAGCAGCTGACATCCATCTGCAGACATGGGCAAGAATTAGGTGCACCCAGACGGTAACTCACTTGGCTTAAACAATACGAGTAACCCCTCTTCCTCACCAGAGAGGACAGACAGCAAAGAGTGGACTGGAAAAATAGGGTGCAGCCCTCACTCCAGCACGGCCAGCAGAATTTGAGGATTTTGCCCCCATGTTTTAGCTGTGTCTGTGCTCCTCGTTTTTGTCACCAGGATGTTTTTAGGAAGCTGTGCCTGAGTTTGCGGTGAAGTTTGCCCCGAGTTCCTGGCCTTCGTGTGCATCCTGGCCGTGTCCTGCCTCGACGGCAAGAGGAAATTGGTTGCGTGGGATTTCCTGTGCATCAGGCAGGCAGGAGGGAGCTGCTCCAGCAGCTCTGGGGAGACGGTGGGTCACGCTGCAGGAGAGACCATCCTTGGGGCAGGATGTGGCCAGGCTGAGGACCCTGGGCCCCCAAGCATGGGGTGCACAGCAAGGGGGTTCTGCCCACAAATGCCAACTCCGTCTTCAGGACTGTGAATTGTGGGGCTGAGGCTTGTTTTGCAGGTCAGCAAAGGGAATGAAGAAGCGCTGGCTTTTATTCTGAGAGAAATATATTGTGTGAAAATTATCATGTGACTTGTTTTGTCATTGTTTTTAACGTTTGCCTGGTATGAACATCTCGCCTCTTCTCATTGCCTACAAATGTCTGAAGTTGATTGTTTTTTAGATACCTATGCCTTGTGTTAAAAACCTGAATTGTACCTTTGAATTATCTGCCTTAAAGTGGCTCTGTGCCTTCAAGACAACTCCCGGGCCACCTCTCTGTTAGAGCTGGGAGATACACTGGTTCTCCCTCACGTTTTATAAATACATGGTCTTCCTACAAGAGCTCAGTCCTGTCTGTGTGTTACTCACACCCACATCACCGTGCAGCAGGGATTAGAAACCAGGTGTTGCTCCTCTGCATATAACTGAAGGTGTAGGCAATGCCAGAGATCCAGGTCCCTCTGCCCAAGCCAGCGAGAGCTCTGCAGCAGGAGGCGGGTGGGAGATGCAGTGAGCGTGGCTAGCCAGGAGCGAGACCTGTTTCAGGCTCCTCTAGGGCTGTAGCAAGTGGGATGGCAACGAAACAGTTTTTTCCTATCTTCCTGGGTTTATCATGTGAAATGAGGTAGAAACATTGGACAAAACACACATCCCAGGAAAGCAAGAGTGCGACGTGGTCACAGAGAATGTGGAGACCGAAGCGGTCCCTCTTGCAAGCCGGGGACGATTCCTGGAGAAGACTGCAGGTGAGAGCCTAGACCTGAGCTCGGCACTTGGCACAGCCTACACACACGGGAGGTCAGCTCTTTCATGGAAACTGATTGTTTGGATTAGAATTTGGCCCCTTTTTGCTTCAGTCGTGCCTCCTTTGAGTATAAAAAGCTTGGCAGGGAGTCAGACACGGAGAGGAAAAAAAAAAGGTAGCCAAGATTGCTAATGAGTCTGATTCCATTATCATGAGAAACCATTATTAAAGGTGATGGGGGAAAAGCATTCCAGTGTGCTGCCAGTCTTCTGCTCGCCTGGGCTGGGTGACGGGAAGCTCTCTCTGCTCAGGCAGGCCTTCCGCGCCGCCGTACCTGACCTGGCAGCTCTCTGAGATGATGATGTTGAAGTTAAGATCTGGTAATGAAATTCCCCTCACTGCTTCTTTCTCAGCTGAACCTTTTTTTTTTTTTTTTTTTTTCCCCCTCTCTTTACATTCAGTCATCGATGCTAATTGCTTTGCCTCCTGCTCTCTGTGAAGCCATGAGTCACAGGATTTGGGATCTGCACATGGGATGCATAATTTTTTACCTTTTCATGAACCCAAGTGGCCAGTAGTGGCTAAAAGCCCTTAGCTGGTGGTTTTGCATTGGCTGGAACTAGTTTTGCTGCCTCTACAGTGAAGCCTTTTTCCAGAGGAGAGCAGGATAACAGAGGCTTCCCAGAAATACTCATCCCTCTTTGCTGTCAGTCTCAGCAGAGACCGAGGACCAAGATAAGCAGCAAATTCAGTGTCGCTCCAGGGACAAAGTGGAGGACGAGTCTTTACCTGCTTAATCAAACAGATCCCAGACTGTGCTCAGCTTTGCTGATTTAAATTCTGGTAAATACATAATTGGCATTTTCCACCCTACTCTTTCTATGCAACTTCCCTTCAGCTGCAAAAAAGCCACTGTCAGTTGCAGGTACTAGCTGGTGCTGGCCCATAGCCTTACCCACCAACCTTTGTGGGCAAGATCAGAAAAAACCACCCTCTCCAGAAAAGAGCACCACCTGTGGCTCAGAAATTTAGTTCTGTAAAGTCAAATACAGAGTACAAATGAAATCTGCCCATATCTGGGGTTTTTTTAAGTGTCAGACACTCCCTGTAGCTCATGAAGACCAATATGTGGGGATTTTCATGACATTTCTTTCTCAGTGGTTTCAAGAGTATGCAAAATGAAAAATCCACATTGAACTCTGATTCTGCTGTACAATGAAAAAATTATTTAATAATCAGAAAAGCATGTCATTATTTAAATAGGTTTACACCAGATCATTAAAATATCAATCTTTTAGCATGACTACGGGGTTATAAAATTTAGGATCAAAAACCTTTTAAAAAAAAATCTGAAAAATCATTAATTCAAAGACTTCTTTTTAAGGAAACATTCTTCTAGTACAAGAGAATTCCCAGCATTGTCAATATAAAAATGATATATTTAAAAACATTTATGTTAGTGATAAGACCTTAGGTTTTTTTAATAAAGTAATACACTATGCACATGTCATTTCTCATTGTGGCAATAAGCCTAGAGTGTCTCCTAATGTATAATGTTTCTTCATTTTCTACTAAATATTGTCAGGCTATTCTGACATCATTCCTGATAGGTCCCTGGTGATGACATCAGACCATAATATCTATTTTCTGTCATTGTTAATTTTCCAATGCTGGAAATATCTGATTGTTTTCTTAACTGTGTCACATTTAATTTGAAACAACTTAGGAAAACATTTGAACTGGTTTTAGCTACTTTGGTATACACACACTTTTGTATTCTCCCATGAGAAATTTTTTTTTTTTTTAGTTTGAGAAATCCATTCCAAAGTTTGGGAGGTAAACTATTAGATAGCATTACTTTATAACAACTTATGCTTGAGACAGAAAAGCTGGACTTTTCTTGTTTATTTAGCCTACAAAGTAAATCGTTGGGTCTTCTCTACAAAATGAGCCAATATTGAATATGTGAAGCAGGCAACTAAAATAAGAGATGAGATTTACAGAACTGTGCTTTGAAATTGGGTACCTGCTGCTGTTCCCGCAGCTTCCTCTAGCAAAGTTTGCTCTAGCTTTGAAAGGCAATGTTTCTACCCCTTCAGAACTGCAGAAGCATTACGACCAGGGGGCAGCATACCATGACACGCGCACAGTTTTGAAAGTTTAACCCAGTTCTCTGGATCCGCCGATGGGCTCCTGCTGAGGCCAGCGAAAGCGTGGAGGAGGAGAGGTTTCCCCGCCAGCCGAGCTGCTCAGATCCTGCAGGGAAGACGAGAAACACCAGTTGAGGTCTCAGCAGGCTCCTCCGCGCTGCACGGGCAGAGAGGAGCAGTCGCAGCGCACCAGGTCACTCGGCACCACGGCCACCCCTACGGGTGTGGGGTGCTGCTCTTCAGTGCTTGCACCCTTCTGGAGCCCAAGCCAGCAGTGTTTTTATAGAGGCTTTTGGCCTTTGCATCCTCCCTCATCATATCACGCATCTGTCGACCTTTCTTGCTGGCCGTTGCCACATTATGTTGTATTTAAACTATGTTTATATGTCACAGGTCATGTAAGCAAGAGATGTGAACTTTGCTTCTTGACCTAAAGCACTTTTGACCTAAGAACATGTCATTCCCTTGCTGACCTCACATGGAAATCCAGGCATTTGGTCAGACTCTTATTCACAGGACTCTCAAAAATGAGAGTTAGGTTCTTACAACAGTCCCTGCCAAACCACACTTGCTGTTGTGAGGAGCTCTTCCACCCCCACTTTGCCAGCACCTTCCTTTTCTTCTGCTCAGGTAACTGCCATCATCAGACACCTCCCAGAATGCACCTAGTTTTCTTTCCCAAATTCAGCCCCCAACGACAACTGCTATCTGTATCTAGGGTGAGGTTTGCAGCTTTCTGAAAAACACTTGCTGCTGATAAATCCCAGCAGTTGGGATGTTTGGTGTTCTTGTTTTGAAGTCAAAGCAAGGAGAAATCCTCCTTCTCTGAGGGCATTTGTTCGATGGCCCCAGATGCTTGTGAGACAGCAACATGCCTCCAAGAAGGCTTTTTTAATTTGTACACCTTTGCCTTCACCCTTTCCACCTTGCAATGATGTTTTCTGAGACTGAGGGACCTTCCACGGGCTGGCAGCGATGGGAACTCGCCCCTTTCTTACCTGACTTTATTTCCCCATGACTTAATAAGGTCGAAAATTCCTGGTAGGGTAGAGGCCAGTCTTCTGCACCCCAAAGGCTGTGATGAAGATGTTGAGGATGACCGTGATGAAGATGAGAGCTGTGGCAGCATTGTTGAGTATATTCAGGCGGGGTTGCTTTGCAACATCATTCAGGTTCAAACGAGCTGTGTGGTACAATGCAGAAAGAAAGGAATATTTGTAGCTTGACTCCAAGTCCCCCAGCCCCTACAGGCCTTCCCTGCCTGGCGAATGTCCGTGGTGCCCCTGGGCATTGCGGCCACAGAGCTGGGGGAATAGTCCCAGGAGATTTACAGGGGTCACAGCTTGCTCTAACATGATAAAGGAGGGTGGGACAGAGGAAAACCATCTTTTCTTTATGTCGTGTCTTTGTTTTGCCATGGAGGTGCCATGGCCCTCCAATGGGCCAACCCTAAATAGCCAAATTACTGCTGCATGCTAGCCAGGCATGTGCCATGTGACACCCGCCCACTGCATGGCCATGGGACGTGGCAAGGGAAGGCTGGGTGACATGGGGGAGAAGGTCAGCAATGTTGTACTCAAGTTGGAAGGCCAGTTCCTCCTTGACAGCCAGATCTCACCGATGTGCTGACACAGCTACCGACCCCCTCCTTGCCCCCAGACCAAGAGGAATCTGGGTACAATAGCGGGATCAGCCCTAGCTGATGGGCACGGCTCAGCTCAGACATGGGAACGCTCTGGGAGCTGGGGCTGTCTGGCCAATAAGCCATGCGAATGGTGGCTTGTGGCTCCCTGCCCTCAGTTGTGGTCCCCGTCCCCCCTCTCCTCACAGCTGGCTCCAGCCACCGCAGCTGCCACTGGGAAAGGTTGTGCCATGTGGGGCAGGGAAAGGAACACGTCACAGGATTTCCCGTAGTCACAGATCCTGTGTCCCACATGAAAAACCACGTAGGATATACAGGAAAAGGCAGAGTTCTGCAGACTTTTGGTACTGGGCATGTGTCGGAGGCTGAAATCCAGCAACTCCTATATCAGATGGAGCACTGGGCAAGCCTGTCTGAAATGCTGGTGTTGACATACTGTCTGTATGGCCCTAGGAGAACTGTGAGATTGGTTAAATGTGAGGTTAATATAGGGAACACCCTTACCTAAACTGTTCTGTTGGGCTCCAGCTTGAGTGAGGCAAAAGATACAGCTAAAATGTAGTATTTGCAGGAGCTGGATGAAGGGGCATGTTACAAGACGGGCAGCAAGAGGCCCAAACCCCAGCTCTCTCCCTGTGACAGGGATTCAGCAGTGGGGAAGTGAAGGAAGACTAGTGCTCAGAGCCGTTGTGCAAGAGAAAAAAACAACCTACTCACCATGTTGAAAAGCAGTAACAGAGACCTCCCCACTGCCCACATCAAGCTGTCTTCAACCCTCCTGCAGCTCTGGTTGGAGCCAGGGGGAATGATTTGGGAGAAGAAGCTTCTCCCTTCCACCTCCATGCCAGCCAAGCCATGGGGTGCCCTGTCCCAGTAGCACCCTACAAGGGTGCACACGCCTTGGCGGCCGCCTTACCAGTGATGATGAGGAGAATCCCGATCACCACCTGGAAGAAGAGGGAGATGCTGATGAGCACGATGAGGGTGGTGTAGTACTGGAAGGAAGTCCCCTGCTCCAGCACGGCTTTGAGCTGCGTGACGTTCGCCATGAACAGCGCCACGTCCAGCATGCTCTCCGCCACGCTCTTCTTCGTCGCGTAGTGGTTGATGTTCATCGGCCCGTTAATCCGGAGCTGAGGATTCACACCCTGGGGAGACAGGAGAAACCACATGAACTGGTACGACTGCTAAGCCGACAGACCCCGTCCACGTCGAACGGGCTGCTGCCTCCCCAGGGGGTTTGTCTAGGAAGCCTCGGAAAGAGTCAAAGTTGCGTGCTTTAAACATATTGAAAGCGCCCAGTTTCCCCTCACGGTCGCCTCATGATATTAATAGGCACAAGATCCTTGTGGTGATCAAGAGCTCAGCAAGGTTAGAAAAATACTCAGTATTTTTGTGGAAAACAGGCTTGTACAGAGTTACAATAACGTAGATTACCCAGAGCCAGGGATTTTGCAAGGAATATTAAATTCTCTTCCTTCAGGGCACAGACAAGTCTCAAACTTACAGAGGATTAGAGATCTTCTCTTTGGGACGGGTGTTCAGAGGGCTCTCAATAGCTGGGCTTTATATCTCCTCTGAACACTTTTTTGCTGGTTACTGTCTTAGACAAGATGCTAGAGTAGATGGGACAATCCACGTTTTTGTTTCTGAAACCAGGAGCACTATTTCTTCAAAACATTGGGCACTGTAACACATTGAGACAAGGGGTGAGATCCATCACACCTAACTTTAATCGTTCAGGCACACTTTTTTTGTCAGTGGAAAGAAACAAGTATTTATAAGGGGTAAATCACCTGGTTGCCCTTAACCTGATTGCAAGCTGTAGGTCATTTGGCTGTTTTTAGCCATCCACCTCTTCTCTATCTTTTTTGTTAAGTGAGTTCCCCTGTTAGCTGTCTTGACCCAAATGATGAAAAAAAATAAGTTAGAAAAGGGGGTGATAGTTTTCAATTCACCCGAAGTGTCACCAGTTGGTAATAAACCACCAGCAAAGGCAACAATTACAAAAGATTTGGATATATCTGCAGCAAGCTATGACCTTCTTTCTTAACAAGAAAGACAAGCAACATTTCCATGTAGCAGACAGGCTTCAGTTCAGGGTAATCAGCCTCCTGTCAGCTGTAGTGAAGACCAGCAGCCTTACCCTCAGCCTTGTCTGATGGATAACCCTTTAAATCTGGAGATAAGGGTCAGGTGTGGGTCTGGAGCGACCTCTTTTGCTCCGAGTGGTGGGAGAGACTTCTCTAGGTGCATACTGTGGCAGTAGGACTGGCACTTACATCAAATGGTAAGTCCTATTTTGGTCCTTTTGTACCGGATAAAGTACAAAATGTGTTCTTTCCTCCATGATCTGGGCGTGACACTAGAGAAGGGTTCTAGCTAGTGCTTTATGCTGCTGCTTCTGATCTCTTTCTGTATCCCTGGGCAAGAGCGGGTTTTTTTTGTGCCAGGGTGAGACTGTGAGTAAAGTCAGTGATCCTGGGAGAGCACTGCATGTGGTTGTATGTCTGATACAAAATTCAGCCCAAATTTTGGTAAGGGAGTTGTGGCCTGTGCCGGTGTTTACCCTCATGTGAGAAAGAAGCATAGTAAAAAGCCGTTAGGAAGGACCATGTCTAGTTTGAACTATTGGTGAACTGTGATCCCTAAGAAGGGCTGTCTTGGGGTAGGAAAGTATTTTGCGAGATTTTTTTTTTTTCTTTGATAGTTTAAAGCATGTAATTTTTGTGGGTTCTAACAGTAAAGCTACTGTGGTTAAGGGGCTCCTTTGCAAAGCCTGTATTTCTTTCTGTGGAAGGTAGAAGTTAAAAGCTACTGGAAAGTGATGAAAGTAGAAGACTAGAGAGCTGATAAGGACTCTAAGGCAGTATGTAGGGGTTCAAGACTTCTTAAATGTTAGTCTGGTGTCTGGGGCAGAACAGAGGATACCTCTATTTGCATCTTGGGGAAAGGAGGCAAACAAAAGGTTTGATCCTGGGAACACATCTTAAAACCCCATATTTAGGTACTGCCCCCCCTCATCTGGCTTAAAAGCACATGATCCTGTTGTAACAGAGTGGTACCCGTACTAAGTGGTGCAAGGTCTGAGATTTGACCCCTTTCATGTATTTCCTTCCTTATTCCTGAGGAGTCAGCCCTCTTCCCTGCAGTGTCACAAGGCTGGGCATTGACAGTTTATCTCCGTGTAATGATGAGTTAAGGGTGTGAGAACAAGGGCGCTGTACAAACAAGGCAGAGCTTTTGTTAAATGAGTGACTGGTACAAGGAGGCCAAGGCATCTGTTCACAGTCGCTTATGTGGAGACAAATAAAGCAAGTCGGGAGCTCTTGTTGAATGAAAACAAATCTTCCTTCTGAGCTGCCCCCACGCTTCTTTACCTGGAGTGAGAAATGGGGCTGAGTTGCAATGTAGGGAGCTCTGTGTCCCAGATGATCAGGCAATGAAAATAGATAGTTTTCACATCGTCTTTTCTTATGTGGATGGGTGACATGGCATGTTCCCCCTGTTTGGGACATGATACCGCAGGCAGGGACATCCACCACTCTCTGATGCAGAGTCACTAGATCTGGGAAACCCCTTGCGCTGAGCAATGAAAAACTGCGATTGCTCTTTCAAAGTTCTGTCAGCCCAGGCTTAGTAGATCCACAAAGGTGACCAAAAGGCAACTGGATGATGAAAGCTGGACACCAAGCTTTCACATGGGCAGCTTAAGCAATCAACCAGTTTGCAGGAGTCCTTATGATGGCAGCTAAAATTAGAGAAATCAAGCTCCTCTATGGATTTGGCCCTTACAGATTATTCTGCCTAGTCTAGCAGCTACAGATGCAAGCCTGGAGCCTCAAATAACAAGAGACTTAAACAAACTGTGAGTCTTCAGACACATGGCATTTCAATTAATGCAGGAGGATGGCTTTGCTTGGGATACCTGGCGCCACAGCTGTCACCAGCTAACTGCTGCATTGGTGGAGTATGAACATGTGGCTGTGACTCTTTTTCTGAGCTGCCACAGTGCATGCACAGCTTTTCAAAATGGGACCATTTCTGCTTTTGCTTTGTCTTAAAGTTCAATCCTGTAAACTGCTGCAGCTCAGGAGCTGAGTCACAAGCAATCACTTGGATTTCCCCCAGCAGGATTGCCTGGACAGCTGTGGGGGGTTACGTGGGATCACTGGGGAGATTAAACGATTGCCTTTTGGCAAACAGAGCCCTGAGTCAAGTCACAGGGCATACCTGAAGGCTCATCAAAGTGATTTATGTCATCAGGCTAGAGCTGGTGTCTTTCTAGTCACTGTGAAAGTGTTCCCCTTCTGAGAGTGGGGAATACTGCCTTTTCTTCTCCATATTACATCAAAGAGAGGAAATCTGGATCTGGCAGTCAGACACCAAGTTCATTTTGCAAGTTTTGTTGCAGACCCAGCATGTCTGCTGAAAACCAGCACTTTGCCGAGATGAGGATGTATCATTGCTGCCTGCTTTTTAAGGGTAGGGAAAGTAGAACTTGAAAGTGCAGCCCAGTCACACAACAGTGCTGGCTGAACTGGTGCAGGAGCTCAGCTCCTGTGTCCCGTTTCCGGATGTTTTGGCTTTCCATAGGAGACAGGCTCTTTCCCTGTAAAGGCTCTGCTGGCTTCAGTCTGACCTCAAGCAAATCCCCTTTCTGCTTCCTTTTGTGTAAACGTGGCACAAGCGATACAGATCACTCCAGGGTCTGAGTAAAGCACCCAGCTGCCTTTTGCAAGTCAGAGGCTTTGTTATTACTCAAAGCATGAACATACGCACAAATATTTAACTCTCATGTCTATTGTTATTTTTAATTTTTGTACGAATTCCTGTAGAAAGAAGGGTGAATATCACCACAAGCGTGGGATTATTATTTATTTATTTATTTATTTTCAAATTTAATCTCTGGTTTTGCTGTAGAGAGCCGGCAGGTTCCGGAGCCTGTAAAACCTGGCTCTGGCACCAGAGGGCATGCTGAGCTCCACACTCACAGAAGCTACCCCAAAAAATTTCCCCTTAAATCAGTTTTCAAGGGAAATTCTTTGCTTTTTATTATGCATTTATTTTTACAAGAAATAGCTACTTTCTTCTGAAAACTTTTCAAGGAGGTTCATCTAAATATTTCTTCCCAAAGCTTGCAGATTTGGGTCCAAGGGGAGCACAGAGCTTTCTTAAATCTATTTGAATAATTCGTACAAACTTCTTGTTGTATTTTTGGGGGCAGAAACAAAAAAAAATACAGAACAGCTCTAATTGAAAATCTGTGTGCTTTGTGGGTTTTGTGACCCTCCCCCCAGGGGAGGAACATCCTGAAAGAGGCAGTGGGACAGCGGGAGGCTCACAAGTATGAGAATGATAATCCTCTTCATGGGAGCGCTCTGGCAAAGGGGAAAGTCTGAGGAGAAACTGTATTATTGTCCGTTAGTTCCAAGGGAAATGCTGGAGGATGCCAAAGAAAACAGAGGCATGAATGCAGGCCGTGCACTCGGAGGGGTAGGTGTGGAGACTCCTGCCGCGGGGATCCCGGCCGATAAACAGCCAGCCGCACACGCAGCATCGGGCACCAGGGAAAATCCGGGGTATTTTTCCACAGTCTTTCCCAGTTGTCAGCTTTAGAAGTACTTTGTAAACATCGGCTGCTGAAGGTTAAAGCGCACAGAAAGTCCTCACCTTGCAAGGTAGGAGAGGAGCACGGCTCCCTTTCTATGGGCAGAAAGCAGAGAGATTAAAGGCCCTGCTCTTGATCAATACTGCTGCTCTTAAGTGCACAGTTATTAGCTCGCTCCCTGCAGCTCCTGCCTACTTCGCTTGGGATGAAGAGAGCCAATTTTAATATTTTTGGCCTGCATGCCATGCCCGGGCACAGACTGCATCGGTGGCAGCATGGGGAAGAGCAGCAATGACCAGACGTCCGCCCACCCATCGGGTCGGACGTCCCTCGCAGAGCTGTACCCGTGGGCTTGCAGGCGAGGAAGCAGGTTTGTGCACAGCCACACACGTGCAAGAGAAAGGGATGCACAGGGAAGGCTTTGGTCAATACCAGCTCTGTGAGGCAAAGGCTGGCTTTCTCCAGTCTGGCACAACAGCGAGCCTCTTGGCTGTGCGCCAGGGACAAGAGTAATAGTAAACCTCGTCATGGATGCTG